AAACAACAATGTTGTTTCATTATTTATTAGTCTTTCTGAAAATGATAATTTGTTTCAGATCTTTGTCTTTAGCAGACTTCAACTTTGGGTAGGCTTGAAAAACTGTTCTCTTGTTCCCAGAATGTTTCTTTCTCTAATGAAGAGTTGTAATAATGGGATAAGGTGCTACTATTCATACTCATTCTGCTATTGAACGAACTGTAAAGCAAATATGAAATAATACCAGCTCCAAATTCTTCATGTTGTATTCAGTCTGTGATAGAAAGAAATACTACACAAAATGCAAGGCAAAAGTAAATCAGCCCTTTCTGAAATCCTGTCCTTGTCTGAGAAGTCATTGAGGTGCCAGTTACAATATAGGCTGCTAAGATGCCTTTCAGGGATTCAAAGTGAATATATTGTTTCAGCTGGAGGGAAGCTTTTGTTTCTCCATCCCCATAGTACATTTTTCTTGGGCAAAATAAGGAATTCCTCTGTCTACTGCTTCAAGATGGGCTGCCCATCTCTCCAGTTGATGTACATCTGTCCCTTGCTCATCACATAAGTTTCAGAAAATATCTCCCTATCTTAAGCATCAGCAGACTGGGAGTTTACCAGCAGCAAAATGCACAGGCATGATTGTTAGCAGGTCAGTGCAGCATTAGGCCCTGTCAGGCCTGTGCACTTCCCTTTGCTCTTCTTCCTTGAATGGCATCTTTCTCTCTGTCCTGTAGGGTTCCTCATATGCATTGGTTTTCAACTCATGGGGTTTAATTGTAAATGAAAAGATAATGTTAGCTAACATCCTGGTCACGTTTTCTTATTTACTCCCCAACCTGAAATTAGAGGGCTGGTTCTGTTGCAGTTCAGTGGTTAAGGTAAAAGCAGTCCAATGTTTGCAGCTCGTAGAATCTAATGGCTTATTTGAAAGCCCCAGCATGTCAGTGCCCAAGAGTCCCCAGAAACCACCTACAGATGGAAATCTGAAGTGCGTCTGGAAGAGTGAGTGTGTGTGACTGCCATGTGGGTGTTTGGGGGGAACCTCAAGTGCTCGGTTCCCACAGCATTTTAATTTTTTCGTGAGGACAGACCAAAGTTAACTTCAACTATAATGAAGAAGATGTGCCTGCATTTGAGGGGCTAATTACTCATGAAGCTGACAAATCCAAACTCTATGTGTTGACTGTCAGACTTACTTCAAGCCAAGCCAGTGCAAAAATATCCTTAGTGACATCCTTGTTTGTTTTCCTTTGGGTGCCACACAGGTACCCAAGGTGCTGGCCTGACTGTGTAGATAAGTTTACAAGTAAAGGTCTAACTTATTCATACATTCATATTGGAGGTTTGCTGTAGATTTGAGGTGCTCATTAACATTTGTGTATAAAGGGGAGGAAGAACTGGAAGACCCACAGTCTCTTCCACAACCATGTAAGCATACCTTGAATACTTGTTTCTAAGTGGCCATTTTTGCCACTTCCATTTCACTAGTAGATCAAGGGTTTACTCACATTGTTGCTTCTTATTCTCTCTAAGTGTATGTCATTATGCATAATAACATCTTCAATGGTTTATGTTCTCTGTGTCAGTAAAAGGTCTTCCTAAGCATCAGAAGCCCACAGGAGTTCAAATTCCCTTTTAAGTCATCTCTAAGCAGTTATATACTAGACTGGAATTATAGGACAGAAATAGAAGTCCTGAGTACAAACCCTTCCTGTCCAAGCTCAATTAAGATTTCCTCGTAGTAGCAGGAGGGCTTTATCCTATAGATGAAGTTGGAAAGCATTGTGGTTTTTTGTTAGGATGGCATGCAAATGTCAAAAAGAAGTGACATGGGGAGAGGAGGCAAGACAGAGCAACATATTCTTTTTATCCTAAAATTACGCTCAGTGAATTTAGTAGACTGAAAAGTGCTGTTTTGGGCTTTTCAGAGAGTTGTCTTAAAGTTCTGTCTCCACAAACCAGACAGTGATGACAGGGCATGTTTTTCTGTGATTTTTAAAATACGAATCAGGAGAAGAGGATAAATATATTAAATTTCACATTTGTTTCCTCATTTGGTCCTCTGGTACTGTTGTGTAAAGCAAGAATGACTTCTGGGGGTGGATTAAATTAATTCAATATAAAATCAGTGTGATTCAGCATCAGTGTGATTTTTGCAAGGTGTGCAGTATCTTACACCAGTTGATTAACCTTTTTATTATAGCAAGCAGAATGGTTTAATCTTAATTTTTTAATTTCTGTGATAGGTTAGTAGCCAGAAGGACAGAGAACACTGTGAAGATTTTGTGTACAGCATGGTGGTGTCCCAGAAGTTCATGGTTATGAACTGATGACAGAGAGCTTCAGGGAGGAAAACAGAAAAATAATTTACAGATCTGCCAAGTTCAGTGGATCAGATGTTTTGATTTGAAAGCAATAATATTTGAAGTCAAACCCTGAAGCGTGAGATACCAGAAACCTTTATATTTTCTTCAGGCTGAAGCACCAGTTACCCAAGAGCAGTTGTTTGTCACCCCTTAAAATAATTTGGTCTGCACCATGTTACAGTACAGCACTGTGCACAGATCCTGGGATTCTAGATAAGCAGGAAAGCTAGTTCTGCCAAGATTTGAAAGCATAACTAAGAATGATGTGAAGACTGATGCGGTCATTCTGTAAGAGTAATGTAGATCTGTGATTTGTGCTGGAAGCAGGAAGTAAGCAATTGCCACGGATTGAAATTGTGCACACTTTCAACAAAGTGGTGCCAAGTAACTGCTATCCAAACACAGAGCAAAGCCAAAGAGAAGCAGCATAAGTAAGTCTGCAGCTGCTATGAATGATAAACACAAAGCCAGTCATGCTATGGGTAATACTATGCATTTATTGAATAGACAAAATTCTGACAATAAGAGTGAGGACTGGTCGGACATCACAGCATCTTCACCCAGCTGTGTTTCTTGGCCACTTCAGGCAGAGAACAGACTAATGCCAGACACAGTTTCAAATGGATTTGTCAGTGCATAGCATTCTTAATTTTTCACTTGTTTATGTCATGGCTGAAAGTAACGATGTCAGCATTTAACCAGATGAGACTGAGAAATTACGTGATTAGAAATATCCAGAACATTTAAGCATGCCATAGAAGAGATGTGACTGGAAGAAAGTCAGGTATTTATTTCTCAGCATAATCACCAGTGATTAATGATTCCAAATTTATTATTAACTGTGTAGCAAAAAGATAGACAAGTATCTGCAGGAGATTGCTGGAGTCACTGGGGACAGTTTGTAGTAGGGCATTCATCCTTCAGTAAGTCTGAAGTCCTGTGTTGATTGTATTGCTGGACTGCAGATCTGTTGTGTTTGATTTGCTGATAAAGCAACATGTTTGACTATGTGGTTTGTGTTAGGAGGGGTCTTTACCTACAACCCAACTTATGAGCACAGAGCTGAACTAGAATTTTTCTTACTGTGTAATGTCATTGCTCATAAATGTTCTGTGAAGCCCGGCAGGTCTCAGTGACACCAAGGAAGTGCCATTTCTTCTTACTTCAGTTATAACTGAATTAAACTAAATGGGAATTTGGCATATTGTATGTGGAATGGGATGGGATTTAGCCTATAGGGTGTTGTGCTGCATGTGCACAGGGGACTATCTTAAACTCACTTGTGGAAGATACCTCAGTGTGCTTTCATGCAAGTCAACAGATTTAGGTCAAAATTTTCAGTTTTCATGCATATTACCTATCTTTTTTAATTCTTGGTGATTTGTTCCATATTTTTGTGGTAGCTCAGACATCCTGATGCTGTCAGAGTTATCCATATCCTTTTGTTAATATAATAATTTAACAGCATTCTAAGTTAGCTGAGGACAAGTATTTAGTAAATAAAAACAAAAGAAATTAGGGTGGTATCAGCGTATGTTCTTGTTTCTCCATGCCACAATTGCATTAATCACAGTGTTAACTTCATACAGCAGGGTAAGTTAAAACAGTAAGGGAAAGCAGCTTTTTATTTAAGTAGCTTTTTATTATAATTATGAAAGTTTTGGAAGGAGATAGAAAAAACATCGAGGCCATGTTTACACTGTAGACATTTGACCATCTACTTTTGTTGATTTCTGAGCTTTATTGGTATTAGGTGTCAGCAAAAGCCCTTAGCCTGGTTTAGCTGAATTGGCAGAAGTTTACTTCTTACTGGTAGAACACACTCTGAGTCGTAAGAAGTGAAATACAGTGCTTCAACAAAAACACAGCTTTAATCACAAAAATGCAATTTTCAGTTTTCATGCATATTACCTATCTTTTTTAATTCTTGGTGATTTGTTCCATATTTTTGTGGTAGCTCAGACATCCTGATGCTGTCAGAGTTATCCATATCCTTTTGTTAATATAATAATTTAACAGCATTCTAAGTTAGCTGAGGACAAGTATTTAGTAAATAAAAACAAAAGAAATTAGGGTGGTATCAGCGTATGTTCTTGTTTCTCCATGCCACAATTGCATTAATCACAGTGTTAACTTCATACAGCAGGGTAAGTTAAAACAGTAAGGGAAAGCAGCTTTTTATTTAAGTAGCTTTTTATTATAATTATGAAAGTTTTGGAAGGAGATAGAAAAAACATCGAGGCCATGTTTACACTGTAGACATTTGACCATCTACTTTTGTTGATTTCTGAGCTTTATTGGTATTAGGTGTCAGCAAAAGCCCTTAGCCTGGTTTAGCTGAATTGGCAGAAGTTTACTTCTTACTGGTAGAACACACTGAGTCGTAAGAAGTGAAATACAGTGCTTCAACAAAAACACAGCTTTAATCACACAAAATGCAGCAGCAATAAGGATGTTGGCAGCTTTACTGCCAAATGGTCACAATGTGACCTGCGGGGTCTTCATTACTCTTAAGACCTTATCTGGCTGGCAGAGGGACTAGTGGAAATTAGTTCGCTTAGTAGTTGCCAACTGCTGGATGCCATACTAAGAACAAAAATCTCAACAATGGATATCTCTAACTAACCTTTTTGTTTTGCTCTGTTTCTCCTGCAGGGCTTGTGAAGTTGGGGGTTCACTGTGTCACATGTCAGAAAGTCGCGATAAAAATTGTCAACAGAGAGAAGCTCAGCGAGTCAGTGCTAATGAAGGTAATTTTCTAATGGGAGATTTAAAAAAAATACGTTCTTGGCTCTGTATCTTCTGTTCTCTGCAAAACTAATATCTTTAATTACGTATAACAAACATCCCTGTCAGTACTAGGATTATGCAAAGCATGATAACAATAATTTCATTAAGGGGGAGACTAGGGCTGATATTAAATGGGAATATGCCTCTGCTTTGTGAGCAAAATAAAAAGTCAGCTGCAGAGTTCTTGCTTCTCTGCTGGGGCAGATGTGTGTTGGGCATCTTACTTCGATTGCTGATAGTTGTGATACATTGCAGACTGCAATTTACAAATGTCAGTAGGAAGAGATTTAAGAAAGGCTGTTGAACGTGTTGTTTGAATACTTCTACTGCTTGCTCTGCTGCATCAGTTTGTTATGACCTGATGCACCAAGGCCTGTGACTGTTTAAAGCTGATGTAATTCTGTTAACAATCCACAAAGCTGTGCCATTGGAAGCCGTTAGTGTCTGTACAGATGATCCCAATGACTGCAGTGTTCAGAAGAGGTTAATTTGTTTCATACCTGGCCTTGTGATACCTGTCTCCTTTCATGAGTGTCATTCATTGATCATGCAAACCTGAAAAGAAAATAAATACATGCATAAAGCTTATTCATGTGATATGGTGAATAGAAAGGCTAAGTTTAGCTTGGCTGGAGTGAACTCACCTGCACTGCAATCTACAGAATTCCATCAAGCTGCAAATGATGCTAACAAGTTTGCGTGCAGCTTAGAGCACTTTGTTGAGGTAACTTCCTTATGAGCATATGGAACATATATTTTTACACTGCTGTTTGTTATATATATTTATGTGTCAGCTGTTTTCCAGGACAAGTATAGCAACCTTACTAGAAGCAGAAAGAAAATGGAGTTTAATGGCAGATGCTTTCACTGAATGTTACACATACAACATCCATTTATTTTTTTCAGAGAAGGATTCCTAAAGTTTATATTCAATTGCTAATGTGTTTGAGAATTTCATTGAAGCATTCCCTCTTCCACAGTATTTTGTATTCAAATAGTTTTCTGTAACAGACCAAAACTCAGAAAGTTAAATAAATAAGAAACCTGAAACTTTAAAGGGAGTTTCAGCAGATGAATGGAACACGATGAAAGTAAACAAAATGTGTAAATGGTAAAATATGAATGAGACTCTAAACACTTTCAGTATTTTCCAGAGAAAACAAAGTAGGAATATTTTTTAAAACCGTGAGCATTTTGTTTGCTGAGAAATAATGTCTGGTATCTGTATAAAATATTTTACTTACCTCACTGATTTTCAGAGTAGGAGGCAAATCACTTAGCATAGCAAAGTGATCTCTCTGCTCTAGCTGTGTTGCATCACCTTAGTTGTAGTATGAAATCTGAATAGTGAAATGGTGTGTTAGGCCTTTTTTTGCCCAGCTGCATGCTGAAGCATGCCATGTTTTCTGTAAGACTGTACAGCATCCTTCTCAGGAGGAAACTGCATGTTCTATTGTGATTCTCATTTTCAGATCATCCTTGGTGAGATTTTCTCTTTCAAAGATTCTGTACTCTGTGCTCAGGAGGTTGGAAAAACAGATGGGATTGAATTGGTTTGCCCAGTTCTTGCATAAATTTAGTAACCAGATGTCTTTCCAGGAATGCTCTGTTTCTGATGGTCACAGACAGGGCCTGAGAGCAGTCTCTGGAGCCAAATGATTCAAGACCACAGCTACTGTCCCAAGCCAGGCTCAGACTGATGGATTTTGCTTTAATCTATCCTTGGACAGAAAAACTGAATCTGACAAATATGCACAGCTGCCACATGAAGCTGTAACAGTACAGTGCTGTGTCCGTTTATCCTAGAGTAAAAGAAGTCTGCTCTCAGTCCTTTCAACATCTAATATGCCAGGCATAAGTATATACAGCAAGCTGCTTTCTCTGCCATCATTATTCTATTTTGACTTGCTTCTTATAGCCTTCATTTCTTCAGTGTATTTGCAGTGTTTTTATTCTGTATGTTCAGGGAAGTGTACCTTCTTTCTTCAGCTGCTCTTCATCTGAGCTGTGCAGAATTGAGTGGCATTTGGTAAAGTGCTTTCTAATCATAACATCATTGTATCAATATTTCTGGAGAGAAGAATTTGGAATTGAAGCAGCTGGTCTCAATTAGCAGAACTGCTGGTGTGGAGATGATACACGGGTAGGCACAACGCAGCACAGGCTGCAGTAAATGTATCATCAAAGCACTTGCTGACCTATCAAAGGACAGGGCTGCTCAATGCTCATGTGAGATTTTCCCTTGTCATGCCCTTACTTGCTAAACGCAGGCTGGGGAGCAGTGTTCCTTTCCCAGCTCCAGCTTGGGACTGTTTGGGAGCCTGGTTTTTCGGGCAAGGCTACAAATGTACTTTCACAGACAAGAACAGAAGGGCTGGTTCTGTTCTCACTCCAGCTTTCACACAACTGGTAAAAGCTTCAGCTGGGTTTCTTCAACCACACTGTGGCACTCCCCCCCCACACACCTTCCATAGTACCTCTAGCTTCCTATACCACAAATCAGCAGAAAGATTTCAGAAAGGAGTGCATTTTAGGAAGTGTCTTGAAATTGAAATAGGGTTCATTAATTCATTAATTATTTCAGTATCACTGAGAGGGAAATTAGGCCGAGAATACAAGACCTGAATGTGTCCATAAAACAGTAAGCTCCATGAACACACAGGTTCACTATTGATGTGTGCGTTTTGAGTTCCAGAAAAAAATGTTTGATGTTTATATCTTCAAAATGTAAAGGATAAAGCAGATTTTTCCTCTGAGGCAGCAAAAGCGTGTTTTGAAATGTTGAGGCACCTCATGAGATGTGCTCAGAAGAGTCCTATCCTGGTTACTTCATCACCAGTTCTCTTCCACTCCCTTCTTCCAAAGAATAAATAACAACAAAAAAAGCTTTTGGTGATTCATCAGATGAAATTCTGAATACAGTGGTAGTAGAAGCAATGGGAGCATAAAGGTGAAGAGTGACAAGGGGACAGCTGGCCTTGGACTAATTACTTGAACACACAGGCATCCTGAGAAAGCCACAGATGTCCCAGGCTTGATGACTGGAGCCCAGAGCTCTATATGTGTGCCTTGTGTGTATGTGCCTTTTGTTTGTTCTGAGTCCTCTAGTGCTGAGCCTTGAAGTGAGGCAGGTATTTCCAGGATGGGGGATGGGAAGAGACACAGTCCCTTCCACTTTTTTCTTGTGGAGCTTTGTTGAAACATGGGTAGTAGGTTTGGGGCAGATTGGTTGGTTGCTTTAGTGCCTTTTGGTGCTAATGAGCTCTGCTTCCAAAAACATCTTCAAAGGTGTAGTGTGTATTCATAAAGAGGGATGGTCACGCAATGATAATTGTCAGAGATCACCAATTGCCTGAAATCATTGAGTGGAGAGGTAGGCAGCAGGATTGAGCATCAGCTTCTTGGAACAGTCAAGATAACTTACAAAAGCATCCATGTAAATAGGCACTGCTTTGCATAGTCTTTTTGTCATCTCTTGCTCCTTCCTTAGCTTCTTTGCTTTCTTAGCTTCTAAAGCCTCTATTGCTTTACTACCTTGTCCTACTTTGAATCTTATCTTTCTTCTCTCTTCTTTCAGTTGTTATTTTGCCTTTCATTCTTCTTTTCTCTCCCATTTTGTGATTTCTTTCCTTTTTCTCTGTCTTTTCCTGTTTTGCTACATAGTCATCTAATACCTGTTACTGTTTTGGTGCAATAACTGGTGACATGCAGCATGTCTGCTTGATGTGCCCATTCTTCATTAATAAAATTTAGAATTTGGTCAAAATTAGGAAAGCATCTGAAAGAGTAAGTAAATAATCAGAGCTCATGTTTTATGAGAGACTGAAGGGAGTGAGTTTACCTAGTTTGTTGAAGAGAAGATTAAAAACTAACTTAATCACGCCCTGTAAATACTGATAAGGAGGATAGACCTTTGTTAAAATAGGATATTACAGTCTTGGGGACAAAAAGATTATTGGAAACTGATAGTTGTAAACTGTAGGTAGACAGATTAAATGTAGAAATACTAGCCCTATTTGACCACTGGATGAAGTTGCATATTGGAACAAGCCACGCAAAGCTATGGTGACTTTTCCCTCTGAACTGTTGTGGTTTTTTTCTAAAACCTAGATACTAATTCATCTTCAGCTGCTGGACTTGCAGTGAGAATTGTTGAAGATGGTTTCCTAATCCATGCCATGCATTAGCTCTGACTAACTCATCAGTCTCTCTGGCCTTGAAATTGATGTAGCTGTGAATTTCTAATCACACTCTAGAAATCTGGCAAAAGTCACCTCTGTCTTGCTTGTGCAAGGCATCTGCAGATGTAAATTGATGTAGCTGTGAATTTCTAATCACACACTAGAAATCTGTAAAAAGTCACCTCTGTCTGGAGCATAAAGACAGGTGCTTGTGCAAGGCATCTGCAGATGCAGAAATTTAGGCTCCTCCAAGAAAGTTTAAGAAGGAAACACTTGAGAGCAGCATCTTCTCTTTGGAATACCTAATTTTCAGACTTTCAAATAAAAGACTGTAATATTGACTGAACTAGCTGTCCTTAGCTGCTGACTGGAGGCCTGGTCTGCAGCAGTCATTACCAGAATAGCAGAAGTGCCAGGGAGAAGCTAAATCTGAGATGGAAGCAGAGTGAATAACATACCTTTGTTCAAATGCAATTTTGATAATAACAAGGCCAGTTTCCCTGATATTAGCAAAGCTAACCTCATCAACACCAAAACTGAATTTCCCCAAATATTTTTTGTTCTTAAATAGTAGCATATTTAGGAGACTGCAGTGGAAATGATGTTAAGCTGCTGATGACTCCCACTGAATTCCCCTGTTGTTGGGTATGAATGATCGAAGAAACAAGACCATATGATTTCACCAGTGAGCTATGTTTAGATTAATCTAGGATACTGGCACACAAGATTTTAGAAATGGTCATTTTAAATATAGCAAATAGGAGGGAAAGAATTTCCTT